AAGTCGATGGAGTTGAGGTAGAGTTGACTGACTTTCTATGCTCTGTTCTACGATGATGCGTGGCGTAGCCTTGCAATTTGACCCGCACATGATTTGTTCACCCTGAAGCCAGCCAGCCTGTCCTGGTCGCAATTTTGAATCCAGCGCATCCGATAGTCTCTCCAGGATGATGCAGTTTAATAGTTTGCTTTGGGTGGACAGCAGCATCATTCAGCATCAGCCCTTTTAAAGACTTAGGTCTCCCTTGTTTGGGAGTTTGACAAGGTGGCCTTTCTTCCAATCAATGAACAGGTACCTTTCCTTCCCTCCTTGTAAACCTTCTGCTGCTTTCCCGAATTTCAGCAGTTTTATGGTATTCAGGACTTCTGCTTTTGTCGGAGGGCCTGTGTTCACTGGTAGCTCTGTTGTTGCTGGTGAGTTGCAGGTGCTGGTGGTCGATTCAAGAGTTTGTGAAGTGTTCAGCCTATTGTTTGTTGCTCTTTTGTTTCTCCTCTTTCGCAACTAGCTTTCCTTCCTTATCTTTCATTGGTTTCGTCTGTGCTGTGTTGATCTCTTCCCTCCCAGATAGTAACCTGGACATTTGATACAATGTTGTCAGGTCTCTCCTACCAGTAGCTTGTTCTGCCTCACTTGCAAGTGTGTCGTTGCGCGCACTCTTCTTCACTTAGTTGTCCAGTGTTTTATAGGTTCTGTTCAGTTCCTCTTTTTGTTGTTCTTTCCTGCACTGCACTGCTTCATCTTCTGCTTCACCATCTTCCACTCTCCTCTTTCACGAGATCCATTCCTTGTCATTGTCTTTGTCTTCTTCCTTCCTTCCTTCCTAATACGGTTATCTAGGTTTCTTCCCACATCTCCTCCAAACAGTTCAAGTGTTCTTCCAAACCCGATCCTTAAGGAATATTGCTCAATGTCTCCCAATTTGTTCTGATGGCTGACGTGAAGATGTCCTTTGTAGTTTCGTCCTTCAGTTCACTTTCTGTTCTCGATGTTCAACTTCAACTGTGGTCTATCACCACCAGGTTGTTTGAATGCTTTCAACTTGATTTTGAAGGTTCCTTCCACTAGTTAGTGCGTGATGTGAAGCTACATCTGCTCCTCTTCTTCATCTTGTATCGAGTAGACTGCGTCTCCACTTTCTTCATATTGAGATCAAGTCGATCTGATTTTTAGTGTGCCCTGGTGTCTGGTGAAATCCATGTCGCTTTGTGAATACCCTTGTGTTTGTACACACTGACTCCAATCACCAAATCGTTGAATGTGCAGAAATCTGCAAGTAGTTCTCCATTCTCATTCATTTCATCGAGTGCCTCTCGACCCATGAACTTCCTGTGTTTCCACATATTTAATGAGCATTGCGTAGGTTTACAGTTAAACCTCATCTTCTCTCAGAGTCAGTCAGACGAGGGTGCTTGTAAGAGAGACGTGACAACACTATATCAAATAACCAGGTGACTATCCGGGAAGGGATCAACTCAGACAAAACCAATGAAAGATAGTGAAGGAAAGGTAGTTACCAAAGAGGAGAAACAGACGTCAGAGAGGTATTCACTAGGACACCTAGTCACGGGCATAGTTTTTATAATGTTGCTTGTATTTTGTGCTTTAACGTTATTCTGTCTTCAGACCTTGACAACAACCACGTACAAGTTTGGTATCATAGACTAAATGTGGCTAATAGCCTGAGGAGATCATCCTATAACAAATTGGATTTCTTTCTTTCATCAAACTAGTGGATTACTATTACTATGGGTGTTCTCATCATCTCGGCGTGTCTCATATTCAGTCATTTTCTAAGAGTGACTTCTAAAGGTCAGTCACCGTAGCGACCGGTGAAATAAGTAACTAAATTTTTCTATTTCATAAAAATCTACCATCCCATTAGAGTCAGTAATTTCGAGCTTAGATTTTTTTTCTGAGTGACTCTGAAAGTCAATTCCATCCTAACAACCGCTGAAATAACCAATTTAGGTTTATTTCAGTTGGATCGAAAATTAGTCTTCTGATTGGTTGTATCAGTAATTATTAGAGAATCCTTTAGAGTTACTTTTTCTCCTAACGATTTTCGTTGTCAAGCCGTTTGTAGAAAAATTAGGGTTGTATCTAAATAGTACAGAAATCGGCATAAAACTCAACAGAAATCAAATTCACGCGTTTAGTGATTTTCACATCATGAGCAATGTAGTGTATTCAACAACCAGTCAACCACAGTGACATATGGACAGTTTAGAATAACTCTCAGGGGCATTCGCAACAGTTACAGAACTAACCAATTAGAGGTTTGTATACCGTAAGATGAAAAGCCTGATTGGCTACATCGAGGAAGTCTTAAGGTCACTCTACCAACTACCGAAGTAGCCAATCAGCTTTGAGTATTCGACCTGAAAAGGTAGTCATTCATAAAATAAAGAAAACTAATTGGTTATCACAGCAGTTGGTGTGACCTTTAAAGTTATTCACTATTTGAGTTGATGTCGTCACAGTGAGTATTAGATTCAATGAAATTATGTAGGAAAAAAAGACGTCTGTGTGTCAAGTTGCATTGGAATAGGAAATGTTTACTATCTAACCACTAATTCGCTTGAGTAATCCAATCCTACAGTTCCGCTATAATGCGTATAATAACGGTGGGGGAACAATGAGGTGAGTTCAAGTGTTGTGAAATTCACAGTACATAGTAGAAGTTTTTGAGATGTGTGCGTATGTGTGTATTTTTGAAATTATGTCCCAGCATATCAAGTTCAAAAGTATTAAACTTTCGATTTTTGGGATAGAGGTACGCTCAACTGTTGCTTTTGTACGTGATAACAAGCACTCACATGATATGGGACGAGTTCATGAATTGTTCTCCAAATCAACTCATTTAAGCAAAGATTCTGCAGTCCACTTCACACTCCCAAATTATGGAGGGGATTTTCAGAAAAGTGAATTCCCCACACATCACCACGGCGTTTGGAACGCATGAATGGTATATCGAACCTAATTTGAAGTTAAAAGGCTGGTTAATTGATCTCCTCGAACAACTCCTTACTTTGGCTTGATCGCTGACGCATTCTCTTATTCCTCATACAACTTGTGATGGCACAACACTCCAGTTAAAACTTCGAAACACTTACCTAAATCGATCTGTGTGGTGTATTTTTCAGTGCCCATGATATACTGCGCTTTTACCACATCTTGGCCTGACCACCCAATCCTTCTCCCAACCTAGTCCAACTTCCTCTAGCATAGCACTTCGAAGTAGGCGGTGGCTCGGCATACGTAGCACATGTCCAAAGTACCTCAGTCGCTAAAGTTGAACAAGCTGAGAGACTAACTTATCTTCCTTGCCTAGTACCTTTCTCCCAATCTCATATGATGATTCCGGCGCCAACTGGCAAATGGCAAACGGCCTTTCTACATCCGATGATGAATGTAGCTACCAGTGCCTCTAAATCACAATTATCGGAGGGGAGTGAATTCTACTATCCTACAGTGTAGTCTCACTCTATTCAACTGAATGAGTAACTGTATGTGCTGAGTGATGTATGCCTTAATCTGTGAACAACACCTTTGGCGTAAGGAAAAGATAATAGTTCTATCCATCAACTTGTGAACCATCTTAACAGTAGACAGACAAGAATTCCAGGCAGGCATACATGAGTGTTGTGTGCCTGTTCAAACGGTCTGTGACTATACGTTTTCCTGTCATATTATACAAGACAGAGCATTTATTTATTCATGGAATGTAAAGCACGTGTGCCTACACCCACCCAAGGGAGTAATATTGTTCTAACTGAGACTCTCGTAGCCCAGCAGATGACATGATAAGTAGTAGGTCATCAGAGTCTCTCTCAGTCGGAACAAACATCCAGTTAACAAGTTAAACTCAAGTAGGAGAAAAGGAACGTTCTGCAATCAAACAGTATTGAGACATTCACATAGGAGTTCATCTGTCAACAGAAGTCGAGCTTAGTGATGCCTTTGAAGTGAAGACAGGAGTAAAACAAAGGCTGCCTACTATCACCCATGATATTCCTGATTGTGGTCCACTGGATCATGCAGCAAACAGTGAGGAGCTAGAAGAGGGGGATACGCTGCTTGATCAGGGAAAAGAACCTAGAAGACTTAGATTTCGCCGATGACTTGTATCTGATGTCACACAAACTTGAAGATCTACAGGCGAGAACTAACAAGTTGACAGAAGAGGCGAGGCAGCGAAGACGGGACTTCAAGTGTATGTAGAGAAGACGGAGGTGGTGAAGATACCCAACCAACAACAGCATCAGCAACAACAAGCTCCAATCACCATCAACGGGAGAAACTTAAAGGAAGTAGCCTCCTTCACCTACACATCTAGGCGGCATCGTTTCAACTATAGGCGGTACAGGCACAGACGAGGACGTCAGGATCGGAAAAGCAAGACTGGCGTTCATTGACCTGAAACCAGTGTGCAGATTTACTGCAGTGTACTCCACTCAGCACAAAGTACAAGATATGGATTTTCAACACTAAGTCAGTCAAGTCAGTGCTACTATGTGATGGTTCACAAATATGGCGCATCACAAAAAGCACTCCCAACAAACTAAAGACATTCGTCAACAGCTGCTGCCTATGCTACCTCCATACTGAAGATCAGATGGCCAGAATAATAAGAATAAGCAACAAGGAAGTGTGGCCTGGGGACGATCCAACCAAGAACCCATCGCCCAACAAATATGCACTGGAAGAAAGTCGAGATGGATTGGTCATACACTGAGAAGGCCGATTGGGGACATCACGCACCAGGCCCTCGAGTGGAACCCATATGAGAAAGGACGAGTTGGGTGTCCGAGGTGAGGGTGACATGGAGGAGATCGTGCGAGGAAGAAATGAGAGCTAGTGGGCTATCGTGGAACCAGTTTCAAAAGTTTGCAGAGAACAGAGTGCATTGGAGACGTGCTAATGAGACCCTATGTTCCACTAGGAACCCAAGGGACAAATAATAATAAATTATAAAAGAATTTATTTATAATAGTACTCACCTTAAGTATATGCAGTATGAATGGTAAAAATGTATGCCACCATGAAATGATGAGTGTTTCATCTACATATAGTTTAAAACTATTATAAAGATGATGTTGTTGTTGATGGTGATGGTTGTGTTTAGGAGAACAAGGTGTTCTTGATGTTGTTGTTGTTTTAGTTAAGAATGTACTGTCAACAGTGTTGATTTGATTTTCTTCTCCTTCTGTTAAATGTATATTTGTCATTTGTTTATCAAGTGAATTGATACTCATGTCTGATATTGTTATTGATGTATTTGCGTTAACTTCTTCCTTTAAACTTAAAGGATTACGGTCATAACAACAATTACTGTTCAAATATGGTAACATAGCTGATAGAAACTTTAAACTACACATCCTTAATAAACTAGTTTCTGACTTCTCCTATTCACCATAGCGTAGAGTAGAGAAACATGAAAAAGAAAGATAACAAAAATTTCATTTAATATTACGTTAATAAATTACTAGTCAGGCATTTTATCCTATTTTTATTTAAGGAAGACTTCACTGTGTAAACCTCTGAATTTGCCTTTCTAGTCAAAATAAAAACTAGAAGGCGATCGAGAATTGGGAATTCGAACTCTGGTCCAATTTTAAAAATAGACATGGTAGTACCATTAAGAGATGTGTAATTTATTGGCTTAAATACTCGAATTTCAAGTAAACCGCTGACACTACCACTCACTCGGGTGTAGGTACATCCAGCTGAAGAGTTCCAAGCAAGACAAAACGCATATCTTTGCATATTTAATAGATAAGTGTTTTTAACTCCACCTATCACTGCAACCAACAAACTGGAATGAAGTAAGGAGAACAACAGTGTAGTCGAATTGGCATGAGTGGAATCTCATTAGCTGCTTCCTAAAACCTATAGAATAGTGTTCCTGATAGGACGTATTTGATATCATGATTAAGCAAGTTGATACTGGATGATGATTGAGGGTGAAATGAAAATTTGAACCGTGACAAGATTCGAACCAGTGACCAACGGGCCGATGCTCTACTAGCTCAGTACCAGGCTGAAAACCCACTGGTCACCGGTTCAAGTCCCTCCACAGTCCAAATCTCCACTTCACATTCAATCATCACAAGATATCAATACAAGTTTGTCAAACCACAGGTGCTAACTCAGATTGTCAAAATAATGATCAAGTAAGTGTAATAAAAGGTTGACAGATTTTTCCTAATGTGTAAAACAATAGTAAATTTTGCTTCCCATACCTTGGGCGCACAGCATCATACACATGGAGAAATTCATGGATAAATCCATCGAAAAGATACAAGAAGTGGGTTTCATTTAAACGTCATTAGCTCTTCTTCAACAATCTACAAAAAATGTCTGATAAGAGTACTTTTCAGCGGCATGCATAAGCTATGCTCTTTAGAGAAAACATAAGGAAGAATTGGCCTTTGTCGAATACTACCTACACATATACGTCCGAAAGGGCACACGCTGAAAGAACAGAGATAAGGATTCCCATTAGCATTTCTGAACATATCCTGAATGATTTTTAAATCTTAGATATCTATAGGGTTTCAATAGTACAATCACTCGAAGCTTACTTGATACTGGATATAAAGTTGACGTATCCGAATCCTCCAGTTATCAATAAACAACTGAAACTCTTCAACACTGCAGTTTGCTTAAGAAGTTTCAATTGAAAAGACTCGACTCTGATCTATGGCTTAAGAAATATATTGTTGTTAATCGTGCATTACCTTGGTAATTTATACGCCCTAACTTTGTAAATACAAAATTTTGTGACCGTATGACTCTCGGTTTCTTTTTTTTCACCTTATCTACCTATCTATTTCAAAATATACTCTTTACTTTATTTTTTCCTATCAACTCATTCAATTGAAACATATGTTCAATTTGCAGATTTGTTGGGATTTATTTATTAATTTCAGGTTAGTATTCATTACGAATTGACTGATATCAGTTGGAGAAACATTGCAAATATCGGAGCAATATAGAAAGCTGTTTAGTTTTAGTATGGGGCTCTCCGGCAATACTCGCTCATAACCCCACGCCGTCAAAGATCTGACCCAGGGTTTTCATGTTCCGCAGCTTGCATGTAACCGCTGAGCCACGTGGTCAGAATGCATTGGTCCATATCTCTTAATTCTGTCAGTTTACGATAAAGTAAAACCTCTATCCAGTGCCGTCGTTGAGTACCTCTCCTCATGCCCACTATGCTTGGTTACTCCAAATGATGTCAGTCCATGATGAATACAAAGCCGAAACACTCCCGTCAGTTTATGAGACTACGTTGGATGATGGGTTTTTTCCCTACAAACATTATATATATATATATATATATATATATATATATATATATATATATATATATATATATATATATATATATATATATATATATGGAAATCTTGGACCGCAGCAGGGCTCTGGAGGTCGCTGGCCCGAGTCCTGCAGTTTCACAGACTTCTACTTCACCTTCAATTATCAATATAGTTTAGTAACTACACACAGAACTATCAAACTGGTAAATCTTTCAGTACATCCTAAAACGGGACCAAAATTCAATTAGTACTGAGAAATCATTTTTTTCTTTTACCTGTAAACATAGAATCAATGTTTTTTTTATAAGTGGTAAACTCGGTTGGAAAAAACATGCATAATTGGGTATGAATTGACGTAGTGTAAGTAAGGCTTGGGTACGAACATGTACAGGATGGCAGTTTTCATATTCTGAAGACTTGACAATATTGTCAGTTGATGATTGATGCGTTTCATTTAATGTTGAATCCCATGCAGTGGTTGAAACATCTGGATGGATAAGACGCAAGCAAACCTAGTTTTAGAGGATAGCCGAGGGGAAATGAAAAAAGAAACAAATGACTTTTATCAATAAATTAGCATAATTTTTAGGTGGTCACAATTGTGCAATTTATTTGGTCTGTATAAATTGAACTACTATTTTTTTAATAGTAGTATAAAATATTCGCACCAAGAAAGTGATTTCTGATCTTTCTCGACTGGGTGCTTTATCCGAGATTCTATCATTATCGTTCACCAAACAAGGGGATTGATACTTTGTTATTCCACTATGATCAACATAATCAGCTGATACTTGCTGTCTTGATGTGACAGTCGGGCTTGCACATCACAATGACCCAACGAGCTACATTGGCTGAAACGCTTGTTTCCTTGAAGCTCTACCATACCAGACAGGTCTGTTGGATAGTGGCACGACGAAAAGCAGTTTCCGTTGTAGTGTAAATTACAAGACTTTGGTGGGGATCTAGGGGTGAAGTCGTACTGCTGCTGGCTGGATGGGGTATGGCAGCAGTAAGGTGACCCGTAGTGCCACACTGATGTTGCCTTCCCAACGGGAAGGGGGTTTAGAAAAAGTTGACCCCGAAAATGACACACTCCACCTTGCCCCACGATCTCCCGGTGCCGGCGGTACAAATTCTGTCTATCCCGTGGTAGGACAACCAAACCTTGAAACAATTGCCTACTAAACGCTGTGTGTGACAGGCCTCAGGCAGACGTCCCATAGGCTATGCAGTCAAAATTCTTTTCCCCTTTCAAATATTTTAAGAACAAATAACCTTCCACGTTGTGAGCAGCCAGGAAGTTTCAACCGTCAGCACAGTTCTAGTAACACACAAGACCCAACCAAACATAAGATATCCACATCAAATTTGTCTTTCCCTTTGCCTTCACCTCCTGATACTAATATTAAGCCTCTTCCACCTCCCCCACCCTCTCATTTTGCGGCCATTGCGAACAAATACAATCGAGTTTTATATCATATGTCAGACAGGTAGACAAAGCAACGCAGAATGTGTCTTTGATCAGAATTCAGAGATTTTATACATTGATGACTCTATTTTACTTTTGCCAACTAAAGGCAACAAAGAGTGAATACATCTGCGCCAATATGCTCGACTTTGAGCCACTTCACGGAGTCCTTAGCCACTGTTTCCCTTCTTCTCGAGGGCCTCATCCAGGTAGTCTACATCTCCTTATATGACTCAGACCAAAAGTCACAGACTTCATCCACTAGTGCCACGTTTTGGTCCGGGTAGCCTGAACCTTCTTCCCCTAGAGTGGCACGTCAAGGTAGTCGGTGATTCACTATGTGCAGTACGTAGTATCTAAGCCATCCCAATTGTCTGAGGTTCATAACACCACCAATCAACTTGACTATCCTGCCTAGTACTTTTCGGCTGACTACGATATCGCTCATAGGGTGGTTCCACAAACGCGAACTGAGACAATAGTGACATATGAACTTCCGTGTGGATGCCTTGATATTAGTAGAAGTTTCAGTTTAATATTAATGATGTGCAACGGCTAACAGTAGAATTCACAATCTCAGTTTTGCCCCAGTCACGGACTCATCAGCTGAATGCATTTCCTCTCCAGTGAGTGATGTTGGTTCCACTTGAACAGGCATATCCAGCTGATGAGTCCTCAATAGGACAAAACGCACTGCTGAACATACTCCATTAATAGTAATAAACAGGAAGGATTGATTATTACTATTATCATTATGGTTATTTTTAATTCCATTTTTAATAGTGTACAGTTTCAAATATATGGAACGGTTATCTGAGTCGTTCTGTAAGTGTTGGTGGACGTTTGAAAGGTAAGATTTCCCAGAAAGAGAATGGTATATGCGCATCTAGATGACTGTCAGGAGGTTATTATGATGCTAGTCCAACTCTAGTGGATTAAAATGTTTCAATGTGATCAATTCTACTATATACTTCCAAAATCCAAGTGCAACCAAGGTGAAGATGGCCGGTGATGGTTTATTTGTAGCTACTGCGATGCGGATAAGACTGCTAGCTTCACAAGATACAAAAATAAAAGTAAGTCAAAGGTTCGTAGTTATATGCATGGGAATAAAAAGATTTTCATTCAATTAATGGATCCATTTTGAAACACTGGCTATGATGATTTGGACACATCTCACACATGCTACCATAGGCGGTTACCATAGTGACTATTTTCCAACTTCTCTAGACCTGATTAGAAGACGTAGAGAGAGGAGGTCGATTTCTTCACATGTTGCCATGGAATTAGACATATTTGTATTTGATTGTTTTAGTAGAAGTTTCAGTAAGAGGTGTCTGGTCCAACTGCTTCTCACCTTTCGATCAATCAGTTATCCCACTAATTTTTTCTTGATGTCCACCTGTGGGAAAGATGAAAATGCGAATCTTTGAAAACTGTAATTCATCGTATTCTTTTACTGATGACTTGATTGGTGGCATTATTTTATAGCTCAGTTCAAGAGCCCCTGATTGACCTGTCATTCATTTATCTATGACTTATAGTTCGGACGGAATTAAATTGCATTTTCTCGTTTTTATGTGTTTGAAATCACTTGTTACATAATCTTAAATTATGTTACGTTGTTGTCAGAGAATTCAGTTGTGTATGTACAGATGACAGACTTTGTGTTCTGTCGTAAGCGGTTGCAGTTGGGAAGGCCGAATTGTATAACTCATTGTTTGGGTGGATTGATTATCCATCATTGGGTAAGTGTATCTACGGACCAATCACGTGCAAGGTCAGTGTTAAGATTGAACCAGTAGAACCAAGTGGCTAAGACAAGGTCATAGCACATATTAGGTAAAATATTTTGTTAAGATTAGCTTTATTCAAGCTCAAAGAATCTAAGAAATTCCAACGATTAGATACGAAAAAAAACGCTATAAAAATTGATATGATTAGTAGTATCCGTGAGACTTGAATATGACATTAACGCTTACCTGAACAAGCCAGCATGGTGTAAATGTATCATTTACATTAGAATAAACACTTAAATTATGCGTTGGAGATAAACTTGACTTGGAATTTGCAGATTTCACTGAATTATCACATACGACAACACTATTATCCTTTGACATATTGAATGTAGGCGATAACATTTGAAAACCTATTTAAACAATAAAATAAAAAAAGGCTTCAATGATGGTGGTCTTGCACAAATAAATTGTTCATTCGATAAGCGAATTAACTGAACAAAACCGTAAAAAAACTTTATTCAAGCCGGTATTCATCACGGAGTGACTGATATCAATCGGAGAACTGCTGTAAACTTGGGAGCATTAAACACACGTTTTGTCACATTTTGGGACTCCTCAATGGTGCACACCTATAACTCTGTTCACCCAGCGATCAAATTCACGACCAACTTTGGTGTTAAGTGCATTACAGTTGAGTCACTGAGTCAGATGCCACTGCTCTACATACCCCCTACTTCTGTCAATTCGCAATATACTGCAATCTTCATTTAACACTGTCGCTAAGTAACAGTCATCACGTTCGATTTAATTTGCCTCAATGGTCTCGAAACAAGTCACTAAGAAGTACTGGACAGTAATTTAGTTACGAACTTTGTGGAGATTCTAGTCCTAATCATCATGGAGTGACTTGAAGAATCAGTGAAAACCCGGGAGAACTGGACAGCCGTGTCGTTCCACTTTGGGACTCTTCAGCACCCCGTCAGAGGTGGAACTCGGGATCTTCGGGTTTTGCTGCAAGCACTTCACCATTAAGCCACTGGTTTGGAATTCATAACTGCAATTGTTAGCCATTTCACCTTATTTCCATCTTCCATTTTTATGAACAATGATGGCGCATTAAGAAAAAACCTAATCCAATAGACGGCGGAAAGTATAATCCTTCTAAATGGAGTTTTAACTGCTGTAAATGAATCGCTATTGACAAAAAAATCAACGAAGAATTTAACACAGCAGTGCAGTGTTTCAGCTTTCCACACAAGGAAGTGGATAGGAAAATAGTGACATCATGGTATACAGAAGTGTCTGAAGGAGAAAAGAAATTGGATTCTGACCCAGTGGCTCAATGGTAACGTGGTGGTTGCGGAACCGGAAGGTTGCGGGTTCGATCTCTGGCGAGGTTGTGGGTAAGTACTGCTGAGGAGTTCCATACTAGTCGGACGAAACAGCTGTCAAGTGCTCCCATGTTTCCATTGTTCTTCCAACTGATGTCAGTCTACGATGAATAACAACTACAAAAGAAATAGATTAAAAAAATTCACAAAGTGAATACATCTGCATCATTGTAACCGATTCTCAGCCATATCGTCAAGATTCTCGAATCGTTGACAGCTGTCACCTCCAAACCACAGTCAGGCTTAGATAAACAGTCAGAGGCTCTTTGGTCTGGGTACTACTGACTTCCTCTTAACCAAATCTTACTTTGGCCAACACTACACGCCGGGGATAAGTGACGGTTCCGATGTGTTGTAGACCTTAGAAATGATGTGAGTTGGTAGACGCCAAACGAGATGATATTTCTTCAGTAGTTAACTCATTTGGACTGATGAAGTCCCCTAAGTAGATAAACTAGTTAACGCATATAAACACTTCACACTCTATCATTAAACTATGAGTTAGTGCACACGGGTCTTGAAGCATCTTCTTACATCCGACAGATGCTAAACACGCTCAGAATTCCTCTCAAGGCGTTAAGAAAGTATTGTATCTTAATACCGTCTTCACCTAACAGGAAAATTTCATTTGCGTACTCTAGGACGCACCTCAAACCTTGCACAGTCAGAGGTGTCTATGGCTATATCTAACGAAGTTAAAAAGGAACGGTGACAGTGGGCATTCGTGCCGGACACCATTGGGGATCACTCATCTATGGCCTCCAGGATCTTATCCTCGATACTAATAAAACTGACTCTTTGGTGGTTATTACAAGATTTCTTTCACTTCTTATACACTGAAATAGCCAGCAGTGGTCCTCTGACATTTTTCTTTACTTCTTTTCCTTCCAAGTTCTTGTATCAGCTAAGTGAACTGTTACCGCAAACGTAAACACTCGTTTGCGCCCCCTGCAACAAAATGCCAAGAGGCTGGACATAAACCTACCGTATATATATATATATATATATATATATATATATATATATATATATATATATATATATAATGTTGATGAATAGTGGCTAGCAGTGGAATCCAGGAGGCGCATTTTATATCATATAGGACTCGTTAGCAGGATGTTCAGCATTCTCAGTGAGCGATGTTGTCTCCACCAGGACTCAAATTCAGAAACGACCGCTTCAAACGCCGGAGCGTCATTCACTACACCAAAGAGTTGCGATAGCCAATTCTTGTGCGACGGGTATAATTTTAACGTTTTTGCTTGGATCAGACCAACAGTCAGAGATTTCATGCAATGGTGTCACGTCTCGATCTGGCCACCCTGAACTCTCTCCCAAGCTGATCCAACTTCCCGTACCTTGGTAGAATGGGGTAGAAGGTAGCTCTGCATGTGACCTACATATCCAAGTAATCTCATTCGATGAAGATCCACAACTTCGTGCTGCCTAGTACTTTCCACCTGACCTCGACATTGCTCAACACGGTGATTCTAAATTACGCGAACAATACTACGAAGAAACCTATGGTCAAAATCCTGTAACTACTTTATATCTTCCACCCTAACTATTATTATTATGGGACTTACTTCAATCAACGGTCCGTGAACTTTCCCCAAAATGTTACCTAGTAAACATAAGCATCCAGCTCTTGAATCGAAGCTTTTACTGGTACTCAACTTGACCGGTTGTAGGAAATGACTGATAACTGGCAATAATGTTGTTAATAGACCAGGTTGAAGACGTTGATATGGTGTAACCAGTACAAGAGCATTCAATGCTTTAAGTAGTGAAGTCTAAATTGATAAAAATAAATTGTATGAAATTGAATAGAATTATGAAAAGCTGAAAGATTACATATACTACAGAAACGAAATAAATTGTGGAATTTTGTTTCAACTACTCATTTGAGACTTCAGTAGTTAACTTCGACTTGCTGAAAAACACTAATCAGTTCTCGACGGGGGGTAAAAAACAGTACGCAGAAAGGAATAGTATAGTATAGTACTCTAAGATTCCATACTGATTGATAAATAGTCGACAAAATGGTTTTAGATGACGAGTCTCCTAGCTTGATGATCACATTGGGAAAAGACCGATAGAATTCGACTAGCACTTAGGACTAGACAGCATGAAGTTGGTTACCCTCCAATGAACAATCAATGTATTTTATCCAGACTTACAAGAGACCAATGGCATGCCGAATAGTTCATTGGTAGCGTCTTTGGATGCAGCACTGGGTAATGCGAGTTCAAATCCCAGGCGGGACATAAGTTCCACCGAGGTGGCACATACGCCTTTTTGATGAGGGACAAAAAGCACTAAAAACTAGGTGCACGGCTTAATGTCGATTGCTTCCATTCAAGTGACAGGTTTTGGAATATGCTAACAATAACAGTGTAACACATTACAGGGTACAGAAATGTGTTCGGAGAATTTACTTAGTACTATTAACTTTTCATTCGGATACTCTGGACCGTCCCCTAGGTTGGTTTAGTAAAAATCTAACTATAAACCATATTTTGATGACATGAAAAAATGCATCCCACAAGCTTCACATTTCATTCATCTTAATGAACAATGTTAAGCTGAATCGCTTGGGGAATATAACATTCACGAGAGTTTCAAATACTCCTTGCTCAACTTCTTCATGTGGGTATTATTTCGATTTCAGCTTGAATTACAGCTGATTTTGTTTTTTGCAAGTCATTTTTCACTAACTTTTTGTATCAGCTAACAGTTTAACTCTCCGATACACTTTTCTGATGTTGTACAACTTCTGGACTATTCTATGAATTTATTTAAGACAGATAGACATACAGAGTAGACTGACTGCTTCTACAGCTGCTATGACTTTGTCTGTTGGAATTGGTGCACGTAGACTTAGATGTTTAACAATAATTTCAGTTCTAAGACATGGAATATTAAATATACGATGGTTTGTACATCTGCTTTCTGTCTATCAAAGTGGTCTGAGTTTGTTGTTTCGTCTTCGAACAGGAAGAACTATATATTTCAGTAACATCAGAATAAAACTTGGGCAGTCGTTCGTAACTGTTTAGGCAGCTGAATTTCAGTCAGTGAGATAACACTTCACCTACTGAAATTTTAACTGCGTAGGTAATATCATCAACTATTTACTGCTACTTGAAATATCCTATTGTTACTGCGGATGGAATTGATCGACTTCTGTTGAAATATGGAATTAACAATATTTCCAAACTTGTATACATGATAACTTGATATGTCTTCTTCTGCATAGAGGATTTCTGTGTTGTCAAATTGTTGAACAAACAAGATATCCACATGTAGCGTGTCATATATGATGTACATGTGTGTGTTGGTTATATCAGAGTGTGGGAGTGGGTTGAAACCAGCCAGGTCAAACTACGTTTTATTCCCATATTCCTATTTCAACGATTCCGACTCCACTTTAGGTGGGCGTTGCTGATAAGAATGGATATGAGTAGTATATATTGAGAGGGTGGCAGAAATCATAGGGAATTACCAGCAACAGGTAAGGATTCCGCCAAGAGAAACGCAAGAGACAAGGCAGGCGTATGAAGAGCAAATTAAGAAAGAAGCAGAAGAGAAAATAAAGCATATTTTGAAAATGATAGTTTTAGTGCAAGGCATACCGTATTTAACGACTACTGACCCGCGTAACAATAAACATTCCTTCCTGCATACCTGTCTTACTGCTTCTTTCACTATGAGATGTTCTTTATGCATTTCTAAAGCTTTTCTGAATACTTTCAATACTGTCAAAGAGTCGACATTGCAACTCGAGATCAACGCTCTCCTAACCTCCTCATCCAAAGTGTGTGCCACCCGTACCCGACCGATAGCTGCTACCTTGACGTGGTGGTCGGGCTTGCATATCACAATGACCCAACGAGCTATGCTGGTGGAACGCTTGTTCCCTCGAGGTCCTACCATACCAGAAAGGTCTGTTGGGTAGTGGTTAGACGAAAAGCAGTTACCGTTATAGTGTAAATTGCTACACTATGATGGGGGTCTGAGGGCGAAGTCGTACTGCTGCTAGCTGGATGGGGTGTGACAGCAGTAAGGTGTTTCCCTTGGATGACCAGCAGTGCCAAGCTGATGCTGCCTTCTCAGTGGAAGGGGGGGTTAGAAAAGGTCGGCCCCAAAAATAACACACTCCACCACGCCCCACGGTCTGCCGGGCCGGCGGTGTTGGTTCACTTGTCGTTTCCTTTCGCTCATCCGGCCCCAAAAATACAAAAATTCAAAATAATCATACTCAAAAGGCTGGGTGTGACAGGCCTCAAGCAGATGTCCGATGGGCTCTGCGGTCACACAAATCTCTTTCAGGTACCTTAAGAAGAAATAGCCTTCCACGGTGTGGGCAGCCGGGAAGTGTCAACCGCCCTCACAACTCTGTCAGCACCCAAGTTTCTTCTGACTGCTATCCTCCTCCTCCATCATTACCTTCTAATCTTCCTTCACGTCTCTTAATTAATGATGCTGCATCATCTTCAATTTCTCCTACCTCTGCAGCCTTCGACAACGATCTGAGTCCACAGAACAGTGTCCCTGGTCTCCTTAAACCACGCTCCAAATTACATATTGGAGCCTTCAATGTCCGCACCCTCCGTCAAATTGGCCAACAGGCTTCGTTGGCAAAGACTCTAGCAACTCGAGGCATGGATGTGTGCTGTGTTTGTGAGACACGCATACAGGACCCAAGTGTGGTTATTCACCTGACCTCTCCTGACCAATCTGGTGAATCTGCAAAATTCACCCTTCGAGTTTCTGGAGATTCGATAGCTAGCTCTCGTGGTCTTGCAGGTGTAGGTATAGCATTAAGCACCAGGGCAGAAAACTCACTACTAGACTGGATCCCAGTTGATAGTCGCCTCTGCGCTATGAGGCTGAACGGCACAGTGAGAACTAAAAGGAATAGTGAGACTCGCCGTTGTCTCTTTGTAATCTCTGCTTACGCACCCACTGACTGTAGTTCGGATGAAGTGAAGGACGAGTTCTACCATAAACTGTCTAACCTCCTCTCGAAAGCCAAACGTTCGGACGTAGTGGTTGTTGCAGGTGACCTCAACGCACAGGTGGGTAGACTGAGTGAGGCAGAAAGGCACTTAGGTGGCACTTTCGGAATCCCAGCTGAACGTACAGATAACGGTGATCGCCTATTACAACTATGCTCAGATAACCGCCTATTTTTAGCCAGCACAAATTTCAGACATAAAGAAAGGCACTGTCTGACCTGGCGTCCACCGAGCTCGACTCAGCGATGGACACAGATAGACCACATTGCTATTAGTCATCGCTGGAGAGGATCGGTGGAAGACTGCCGCTCCTTCTGGAGTACGTGTTTGGACAGCGATCATGCGTTGGTCCGAGCACGTATATGCCTGCGTCTCAATGGACGTAGAAAAAATTTGGCAACAAAACCACTACGAGTTCTGCTGGACAACGAAAACACCAAAGCCGTGTTCAGTGAGAAGTTGGCTAGGCAGTTATCGGAACAAAAGACTGTCACTCATCCAGAAGAAGCTTGGTGCCATCTTCAGTCTACTGTAAAAGCAGCACTGGAGACTGTAGCCGACTCCAAGATAATGGCTAAAAAGAGCCAGTGGATATCAGCAGCTTCTTCCAAACTAATGGATGCACGTGAATGCATCCCTGCAGGCTCTGAGTACAATGAAGAGCGAGCGCAACTTAAAAATAAACTGACGAAAAGTCTGCGCAACGATCGTGAACAGTGGTGGGCAGCAAAGGCTAAAGAGATGGAAAAGGCAGCGGCGATCGGTAACAGTAGACAGTTATTTAGACTTATTAAGGAGACTGGGGGGAAATGGTCAACAACAGTTAGTGAGGTTATAGCGGAGAAGGACGGATCGGCGATTCACTCGCAGGGAAGGCGACTGGGACGATGGGCAGAACACTTTGAGGAACAGTTTAACTGGCCTCCAGCCACCATTGCGCTGCCCGCTATCCAGTCGGACCCTGAATGGGACATAGAGACAGGTCCCCCAACACTAGAAGAAGTTGAGAAAGCGGTAGGTAGCCTGAAACGGGGAAGGGCAGCAGGACCAGACGGACTACCTGCTGAGGTATACAAGAATGGTGGTAGAGTTCTCTTAGTCAGGCTAACGGAAGTGTTAGCCAGTATATGGGAATCAAATACGATCCCCTCCGACTGGTCTAAGTCACTCATCATCCCAGTCTTCAAGAAAGGCGAGAAGTCCTCTTGTGATAACCACAGAGGAATCAGCCTGACAAACATAGTGTCTAAGATCCTAAGTTCTATAATTCTCCGACGCCTGAGTGGAGCTCGGGAACAGCAAGCCCGAGAAAACCAGGCAGGCTTTAGACCTGGCCGTGGATGTATCGACCAAATATTCACACTGCGCCAGGTCCTGGAACATAGGCATGCTTACAGACGCCCGACAATAGCTGTATTTCTCGACCTGAAGGCGGCATTTGACTCCGTTGATCGAGAAGTCTTATGGCAGTGTCTGTCACTGAAAGGCGTGCCTAGTAAGTACATCACCTTATTGAAAGCTCTCTACTCGAACACTTGTGGGCATGTTAGAGCCTATGGTGAGTTGTCCAGGGAGCTATACTCATCAAGTGGTGTCCGTCAAGGATGCCCACTATCCCCATTCTTATTTAATTTTATCATAGATATTCTTATGGAGGTTTCCCTCTCGTCACCTAATTACAAAGACGTTGACCGGATCACAGGTGAATTTTCCTTAGATCTAGAATATGCAGATGACATAGTCCTGTTAGGTGAAGACGCTGACAAGATGCAGAGTCTTCTGAACACTTTGAGTGGGAATTTGAGAATGTTTGGGATGCGATTTTCACCACCCAAATGCAAATTTTTGCTCCAGGACTGGTCTTCAGCGGTACCGCGGTTAACAATAGAGAGTGAAGTGGTTGAGTGTGTTGACCACTTCACTTACCTGGGAAGTAGGATCAACCCGGTGGGTTAGTTGCCGATGAGATTTCTGCACGGATACAAAAGGCTCGATTGGCTTTTGCCAATTTGCGCCACCTATGGCGCCGCCGTGATATTCGTTTGTCTATTAAGGGTCGCGTGTACTGCACAGCAGTCCGCTCTGTTCTACTGTATGGCTGTGAAACATGGCCATTGAAAGTGGAAGACATGAGAAGGTTACAGGTATTTGACCACCGTTGCCTTCGTAGTATAGGACGTATTCCGTGGTGTCACCATGTGAGTAATGCAGAAGTTAGGTGTAGAGTTTTAGGGAGAAGAGGTAAGTCAGTCGACGAGGTTGTGAACCTTCATCGACTGAGATGGTTGGGACACGTACTACGTATGCCTAGTCACCGATTGCCTCGTCACACAATGTTGGCTGAGGTGGGTTCAGGCTGGAAAAAGGCCCGAGGTGGCCAGACTAAAACATGGCACCAATGTATGAAGTCTCTGACTGTTGGTTTAAGCCATGTAGGACGATGCAGACTAGGTGGTTGGGGTCCACGGGACAAGAGGAACCAGTGGTTGGAGACCCTAGGTGATATGGCTCAGAACCGAAGTCAGTGGCGCAGATGTATACACACATTATCCTCATCTTAACAACGCTATACCGAATCTCACTATTTTGTCACTCCTCTTTCCTTTCTTCTCATACTTTATATTTCTTTTGACTGCATTCACTTATCTTCATCCTTCACCTCACTACCTTTTTACTTGATGTGCTGATATGAGGTGTGGCAACTCGGACCGTTACGCAGTAATGCCTGGTCCTATGTTGATAATGATGATGATGATGATGTGCCACCCGTATGGAATGACCATTGTTGAGGCATATGATTAAAGAGTACTTTTATGATCTAATTGAGTATCATTTTCTATTTTGCGAATGAATTTCCACATGCGTAATTATTCCGTTTAATTCTCATTTTCGGTTATGCTATTCTGATTGGGTGATTTCGTAGAAAATTTGTTGTATCGGATAAATAGGTTTGATAATTTGTCAGTAGCGTTTCATTTGTAAGCCTTTCACATAGTGAGTGAATTGAGATCGCGTAGGGCAAATTATCCATAAATTGTACTTGCATGTAAACGATTTTTCACTTCTTTATGAACTTATCCCGAAGACCGTCACGATGTCTGTTCCTCGTGCAACGAATATATGGGAGTTTTTAGTGTTATTGCTTGTATATATAGGAGCCTATATACCAATAGAAACCGACTGATTCGGTCCAATGAACAACGAGAAATTACAAATTACAAGCAAGTATCTTCAACTAATCAGCTTAAAGCGTTCGTCTGTGATACAGAAAAGTCAATCAAATGAAGACACCATCATCTCACCCGAACAAATAGTCGACCAATCAGATTAACGCGACCTTCGCCAGTTTATTCAACAAGGTGTGACAACCAATCATATAACTAAACAACATTAGCATACTGCATTTAAACAAAAGAAGTCGACCAGTGATAGGAATGTACATCTTAATGGGATATCAGTCAGATGACGTTCAGCCCACGTCCACATGTCCCACTGAGGCTTGAATCCAGTAACCGCGCTGACGAAGACAGTCAAGTTGATGAAGGGATCTGAGCGATCAGACAACTGCCCCATGATCAATAATTCTAGCAAACTAGGTATACAGCTAACAAAAACAAACGAATTTTCAATCTATATATTCATTTTTTTAAAGGCAACAACACAGTGAACGTACCTGAATTGTAAAGGACTTTTCCACAGATATAGCTAAGAGTAGACGACGATGTAGCTGACGTAATTCCATTGCCAATTTTACAGAATATGGTACAAATGAAGCAGAATGAGGGCTGAGATCTTCAGCGATAGCAAAGCGTTTATTCATATGTGATAAAAGGTATGTGAGTATCTCAAGAAACATCTGTAGAAGAAGGAAAAAATTGAAAAACAATTTACATATATAATACTACGGGGATACTTGATTAGTAAAATAACACCTCTCCAACTGGCAAACAGAAGTAGTAACGAGGTATGTAGCCGTAACCGCCATATCGAAAACGTCAGCCTCCAACTCTACAGATTAACAAACGGTATAACTCAAGGTATGTATCTCTTTTAAGTCAACTACTAAGGTAGACAATTTCATTCTGCGATGTTCTTGTTGGGAAACCTATATCATCTGTAAAGACAAGCTTGCTGCGGATTGAGGAACCACACAAAACCTGACAGCAACCAGCGGCTAGCTGTTACGCCTCTTTTGAGACTCCTTATCGCTGAGTATGCATGACACTGCCTGGGTTCTGGGTTCGACCCCTGACAGGGTGATGGACCCGGACTACTGAGGACTCCGTTACTAGAACAAGACAGCTATTCACAGCACCCAAGTTTTCAAAGCAACTTCAATTGATGCCACTCCGTGATGAATACGAACTTGAGATATTTAGTGTTAATTAAATCATAGGCAACATCATCTCAGACCTTTTTTAGTTTCTCAAGTGATTTAGTTTAGTAGGAAATGGTAGTCTCCTTCCTGACATAACCATAAGTAGACATGTTTGATACAAATATGTACAAACTTGACCACTCATACACTAAAGTGACTGAGATACGAGTAACCATTGTTTTCCCTCAGATCTGATACTTCACAAGCCACGAAAATCGATAGAAAAATACCACCCCGTAACTATGAGGAAGACAACTTTATTTTACAAAAAACACATCTTTTTCCCTTAGGAAAATGCAACCTCTAGGTTACAAGCTGTATATTTGTTTTCATTGGTCAGCTGAAGGACAAAATTGTTCAATAAAATTTTCCTGCCCACACAACAGCACGGAACTAAGGTTGAAATCCAAAAATTCTACATTGGCGGTTGATGACCTTGAATGCTGATTTCGATTTAAGCTGCTTCCTATCACGTATAATATGATTTCATATTGGGTTTGTACGCTTCATTTGGCAGACAAAGTGCTAAATTATTAATAACTAGACGACGCTTTCACTCCAGTTTATCAATGATAATCTCACCAAGGTATGGTTATGATTATGAACAATAAAATTGTGCTCAAAATGTCTTTCAGTAAATAACACTACATCACTATGTGTCATATAAAATAAACAGAAGTAATATAGAATAAGACAGTTCGTAAAGTCCTGGAATCTGTAGATATGCGTGAGCATTGAAATCACGTTTACGAACTATGACGACTATGTGAACTATGAGGAGTCCCAAATAGGACGAAACGCGCGTCATGGATTCTTCAGCTAGCCCCAACCGACCAAATTATTATGAGGAAATGGATGTGAAGGATCTCACCACAGTTTCTTATAGAAACCACATAATCTGGTCTGTTGGACAACCGCAACTATTGTTAAGGTTTTAACCGTGAAGCTGCATGTAATATACTACTGACTGATTGATACGAGTAGTTGTAGACCTTTGACACCGATTAGAAGTCCTGACTAAGCAGACCAAGCTGGTCTAAGCAGCGAACGGCGGTTTCATTCGTTTCGACTATTTATCAAAGGACGAGTATACTGTTCTGCAGTCCGTGCTGTCCTGTCATATGGCTGTGAGAAATGGCCGTTAAAAGTAGATTACAAGTGTCTTAGTAGCACTACTAGCGTATGGTGGAACCACCATCATTATCATCATCGCTGTTGTGAACTTTCATCGCCTGAATTAGGTTGGACATGTGCTACACACACCGAACCACCACCTCCCGCGAGTGAGTCATACTTGTTGATGACGTTTCAGACAGAACTATCACCAATATCACAAGTTCTCTCAGATTCTGTATCGACATACGATGCCTTGCTGAAGCAATCTAAATGACAGACATTCGTCTCCTCATCTCGAGAGGTTCCGGAGAAAAAACGAAAGATTGTATAGGGAGAGAGATTATTCTGTCTAATAAGGTCATGAATACAAAGTTCAAATACTGTGTGCAACCAGGAGTTTCTATGATGTACGAACTCTTGTAATCTATGCAAATTATTCACAGGGCTTACTGGGCGAAAACAGATTGAAGAAAAGCTTCTTTGAATGTCTGCGCGGTAAACCAGCCATTCATACGTCGGTAAACTGATTTCAACCCTCCTAATGTCTATAGTCAAAAGGATAGCCGCTTTCCCGGTTTTAATAAAAATGACATATTTTAAAGTCTTGAATTTCCCCCAAAGCTTAGGTCCTGATGCTGTTTCTAGCACTATATTTAGAAAATGTGCAGATATTTTGTGTCATCACCTTACACATGTTTTCAATGCATCGTTTTCGAAAAACATAATACCCACTGCTTGGAAGGAGATCAAAATAGTACCTGTGCCTAGGTCATCTTCTGGATCAGATGTTACGTGTCGACCCATCACTATAAATTCCCCTTTTCTGAATACAATGAAGAAATTACTTCTCCTTGTGATTAAGCCTTCACTGATGGTATTCAGAGATCCAAAATAGTTTCCTTAGAAACAGATGAGAAGTACTTTATGTGCTATCATTGTCTTGCATTGTCATAACGTTGTTTCTCGTCTAGACAACGGAGTCAAATATGTTAGTTGTGTCTTCTTGGATTCTTTTTTTAAGTTGATATTCATCGTGAACTGACATCAGTTGGAGAAACATTAGAAACCAGGGAGAACTGGACAGCTGTCTCGTCCTAGTATGCGACACCAAAGCAATGCACACCCACGATGCCGCCAGGGATATAACCCGCGACCATCAGGTTCCGTGGCCGGCAAGTAACCATCGAGCCACTGGGTCAGAATCCAATGGTCCATATTTCCAACTTCTGTCAGTTCACGACATAGCGCGACCTACACCCAATGTCATCGTTGAGTATTTTTCCTCACAGCCACCAGGTTTGTCTCACTGGTTACGACTTCTCACTGGAACTTCGGGAATCACCTTTCGAAGCTAGTCACCAATGAGCACTAGTTCAATTGAATTTGGGGTTTGTGGGGATTTAGAGATTTTTTTGGATTACTCATCAGCGTTTGACTTCGTTCCTAGACCACTCTTGTTAAATATGCTAGTCATTGCTCATACTGAGGTAAGGATTTCAAAGTGGCTGTACTCTTATTTTTCTGAAAGAAAACACTATACTGTCGTTAAAGGGATACGCTCCACCGCACTGCTTACTGAAGCTGGTGTGCCTCAAGGTGCTGTACTTTCTCCGTTTCTGTTGAAACTAATTCTACTAAGTATACTGATGAATTGACGGTTTCTATTCCAGTTAACTCTCACCTAGATTGCTCTCAATCAAATGGATTCATGTTTCTAATTGACCAATGGTCTCAAAATTAAAGCATTCTCAATTTCAGGCTGTTAATTTTAGCCTCAGACGTAACGAAGACTTGTGTGAGCTGCTTAAGTCTCATGACGCCTCTCACATTGATAGTATTTGTCCAGAAAGTAAATCGAGTGTTATCTATTTTAGACTGAGTTTCACTTCTGATCACTGTTAGTCATCTCATACCTTGTTAACTTCCAAGAAAATCTTTCGTTTAACGTATTACATAAAGAAACTGAGGCTCTTTGGTATAACTCAATGTCTCTACTTTTACAATTTATTAATTCTTTCATTTTACCTATTCTTCCCTATTGTTCCTCGTCGGTCTTTCCTGGTCTACTAAAAAAGGGATATGTTATATTGCGTAAAGCTTTGAAAGGCGTCAGCGAGTAGGGTTACTGTTATCCCTCTGCCTCAACTGATTACCACTGTAGTTAATGGACATTTCAATTCTAACAAGCAACTAGCTAGATTCATTTTATCTGATACTAAGTATCCACTTCATTCACAGCTTTCCTCAGGGAGGATAAGAGGGGATTTTACATGAGACTATACGGTCGTACAGCCGCCAAGTACAAGAATTCAACTATACCTTACCTAGCACACATATTATGTGAGGAAAAAAGTGTTCAAAGAGAACTCACCTATCAACTTTGCAACAATAAATAATCAGTCTTTCCAATATTTAACCAATAATGTATAACATTGGTAACATAATTTAAAATACTGTAATAAACAATTTGAAAAGTTGTAAAGGAGTATCTACATGTTGTCGTTGTTGCCACATGCTGATAATAATAATAATATTGTTTGCAGAATGCTGAAAATTCCAAGTTACACCAATAATTGTTTTAAAGGAAGTGATTATTATTATTGACAGTAGTAGTAGCAGCATTACAAAGCCTTCACATATTAACTCTTGCTCACAGCCATACTAGAAGAAGTTGGATTTATATGGAGGAGGGTTCACAGTGACCAGACAAAGACGTGACATGAGTGCATGAAGTCTCTGACTGTTACTCTGAGCCATGTTGGGAAATGCAGATTACCTGGCAAAAGTCAACAAGATAATAGTAGTCAGCAGTTGAGGACTCTTGGTGACATGTCTGAAAATCGGTCACAATGGTGGAGATGTATTCACTCCCTTGAACGTCTTCTAAAGGTTGAATATCCACACTAACCTTTATCTTCAAATTTCTTATTCCCTCACAAACAACTTTGTCTACTTCGATATCACTCCTTTTCAAACCACCTGTTCTTTGTATACTTCAGTAAAGTGTCGCAACCTGAAATGATGCACTTGTATGCAGGGCTCTACGTCGATTTTGTTTCCATCTGTCTGTCTGTTTATCTTCATTCGTTTGATAGTCAAGTTCATCGGCGGTGTACCCGGAATGATTCAGCTCAAATAACCGAGAGAGGAAACATGAATACATCCTAGTTCACATTTTGCATTTTATGAACATAATATGTGGTGGCAAGATTCATGTATTTGCTGATACCCAGTTTGTCATCATTAGGTAGCAATGAAGTCGTTCAGTTTGCTGATAACTGAGGTCTTACAATCAATGCAAAACTATTGATTTGTATTTGCTGACAAATGTCACAAGCAGTAAGTTGGAGAGATATCCAGAAACTTATCAATGACACAGCATATCGTGTCAATGTGTACTATTCTATTGTGCACAAATGTAATTCATGATTATCAGAGATAGTTTAGAGAAAATACAACCTGTGTCTGCTGTCAACTGCTAGCTTATGAAAAGAGACTGTCAATGTGGAATCTTTGAAGGTTTTTACAGCAAAGTAAATCCGTCATCCGTACTGTTCACAGAGCCTGATTGTGGTGGACGGGATATGCTGTCTGCATGACTAGCTCGTGCCTAACTAATAACGATGACTTCAGTGGGATTAAAATGGAAGAAGGTTCGAAGTTATCAAACCTGAATAGCTGAAATGTAGTCATATCTACAACCCCTACGTACGCTTCATTTGTATAGGGCTGTTCTCAAGAATAGTTTGAGTTAGGCATCCTCAAGCGAAATGTCGGCGAATGTATAATAATGTATAATAGTCTTATCTTCCAGTCATGGCAGATAGATAGAGATAAAATCAACTTAGAACTTAGTACACAAGCCAATCATCGCAACTTGCCACACTTAACAGTAGTATACAAAGAACAACTGGATAGAAAAAGACTCATATAAAAGTAGATAATGTCGTGTGTTAGAGATTAAACAACTCGAAGATAACAGTTAGTGCAAACATTCAAGCTTTAGAAGATGGCAAGGAGTATATACATCTTCGCCACTGTGACCGACTTACAGCCATGTCACCAAGAGTTCTCAACCAGTGATCATTATCGTCTCGGGGGTTTCACCGATTGTCTGACCATCCCTGAACCGTCCTTCATCCAAAACCAACTTCCGCTAGAATGGTATATCGGGAGAGGTGGTGGTTCGGCATGTGCAATACATGTTCAAGCCATCTCCGCTGTTGAAGGTTCACATCCTCCTCCTGATGGCCTCCAGATAGTAGATGTACATAAGGTTATGTCCATCAGTACATCTATGACGAAGTTAAATTGTAGTTATCACAATGGATACCCATGGTGGACACTACTAGTCGTCATCAATTTCGATGTCTTCCAGTTATACATTTCATCCAAAAGTTACTTACTCTGAGACACACCTACAGAATGAGAAACATAGCAGCAACAAAGAATGTTTGATACTGCGTGGTGACTGAATCTGAACTGCGACAGGACTCGAACCAACGACCTACGGGTTAGTGGCCTAGTGGTGCTCTACCAATTCCAAATATCACCCAGTATCAATAATACAAGTCTGTAAAATCACAGACATCTCAAAATGGTTTTTTTAAAAAGATATTTCCTTTATACGCGTCACTCACTTGTCTAATTCTTGTATCATTAGTTTTATAGAATAAGTTCAGTAGATCAGGAGTCAGAATGCCATGTGGGGTATATGCGTTAAAAGATTGTTCTTCTGTTTGTTGGTATGAAACAGCAGCAGTAGCAGTATTTGGTGTTGACACTGTCGGTGTTATCGAGATCGTCTGAAAACAATCACCACTCATAAGAATTGGCCAACAATTGATAATAACCTGTGATCGACTCGTCTCCAGAATATGTTTAAGGCAAAATACAACTAACGCACAATATTTATTCTAATTTTTTTTAAGATAAAAAGGAATAAAAAAGAAAGTATAAACTGCGTGTGATAAAGGCAAAACTTTCAGCAAAAAGTAAGGAAAATGATTGAACACAAGTCATTCAATGACCATGGATGAGTCCAACCTACGATTTAAGCGCCAAAACTTCGGTATTTTAAACGGCATTCAAACCCGAAAAAACAAGTCAATGCACCACTACTACGAAATGAGAAGTGCAAACCACTGAATTCTGATCCAGTGGCTCAGTGGTAACGTGCTGGGTGCGGAACCTGAAAACCCTGGATTTCATTGCTGAGAGGGTAGAGTCATGGGTGCACACTCCTGGAAGGCCTCACGCTAGGACGAAACAGCTGTCCAGTGCTTTCAGGTTTTCATCAATGTTTCTCCAACTGATGTCAGTCCATGATGAATACCAACCTGAAATCAATAAATTCCCACAAACCTCTAGATTGAATTAATCTAGTACTCGTTGGTGACTAGCTTTGAGAGATGATTCCTGAGGTTTTAATACGAAGTGATGACCGGTGGGGAAAACCTGGTGGATGTGAGGACAAATACTCAACGATGATACTGGGTGATAGTCGTACAATGTCGTGAAATGAGAGAAGTTGCAAATATCGGATTTCGACCCAGTAGTAACATGCTGGCCACAGGACCTGAAGGTCCTGACTCCGACCTTTGGTGGGGTGGAGTCATGGATACCCACTGCTGGGGAGCCTCATACTGGAAAGAAACAGCTTCCCAACGCTCCCATGTTTCTCTAACTGATGTCAGTCAGTCCTCAGCAATGGGCACCCACATCCCCGTCAGAGATGAAGCCCAGGACCTCCAGGTTTCACGATCATCACTTTACCGTTGAGCCAATGAATGGCAGTCCGGTGGTTCACATTTTCTTACTTCCTTGTGACAGTCTGCGATAGATATAGTTCGAAGTTCGCCCAATGTCATCATTGAGTACCTAAAAATCGTACAATTACCCGCTTCTTTTGGGAACGAACCCAACAACTGCTGAGGAGTCACATACTAGAACGAAATTATGTTACTTTAGGTTGGAATTAGTTGACAAGATATTGTGGAAATAAAATGGATCCGTTTCAGCATCTGCTTCCAGTGTAATTCATGGTCTTTTAAAAAAACGGAAACCACAACACTAATACCTCCATCATTTTAACAATCATCTTACCTGGCGTCTATACTGACTGAAATGAGATGATGACTGTTTTCCAGATGTTACCAAGGAAGGCTTCTTTGAAGTATGCTTATTACTCCTTTGAAACTGACCCGTCGATTTTGTGACCAGCAGTGGTGGTAGTGTAGTTGAGGATGTAACGAAGGGATACTGACGAAGACGACGACTACCGCTACTACTACCATGCAGTAGACATTCTGCAATATTCTGAGTTGTTACCAACGATGAATTCAGGGGATTATCAGGAGTAGTCGGCGGCTTTACTCGCATTGCATCAGTGTTGACAAGATCAGTATCAGTTGTAGGTGTGTAGCTTGTTTCATTGCTACTAATCGTTTGACTGGATTTGTTGGTTTTTTTTAGAAAAGCGACACAAATGGATTGAAGAGGAAAAAAGGAGACTGATATAAGAAATGTGCTAGATTGCAAAACAAAAGCAAGAGAAAGACATTTACAACAATTTAGGTAGGGATGAAGATTATGTTGTAACTGGCTTGGTGGTGTCTAGGACAAGAGATGACTCCTGCGTCTCACTTGTCTAGTGACTAGCGAACTTTGGTGTTTAAAGCGATGAGCTCAATGAAAACACTACCGCCCACTGGGACGCAGATCCATCCGGCTGACGAGCCCCAAGTAGGACGAAACGCACCTCATAGATCCAGTGGTCTAACGGCCACTAAGTAAAACCAAATTAACATATATACACATACCTTGGAGAAAATATTTCACAGTCAGAGGATGAAGAGAAAGATGAATCATACGGAGATGATGTCGACTGTCTGGAATCCGTGTCAGAAACAACCACTGAAGTACGCAGTCCATAATAAGTTGATTTATTCGACATTTGATCTAACTGTTTTAAATAACTGTTATTATTGTTTGGGCGACTCAAGAGAATAACATGAGACCAAAGTGTCTGTACATGATCCAAGGTATCAGTTGGTCTAGATTTCTGAAGACGACGTAGCATTAACTGCGATAAACCGTTTAATAATGCCCGAACTGTTAGACGATATAACTAAGAATACAATGAAAGAAAAAATTATTGTTATTATTATAAGATGACAATAGGAATTAATCAATAAGAAAAGTGATTTACTGCCCGTTAAAATGTCAGTTAGTAATAAACAGTTTGATTGAGACAATGTTGAAATTGAGACGATGGTCTGCGTGTAACACTGCTTGAAGAAAGATTAGAAGGTTAGAATGTGGGAGGTGGACAGTGATCTGAGGGAACTTGAGTGATGATAGAGTTGTGAGATCAGCTGACACTTTTCGGCTGCGCACACTACCTGTACAAAATAGTTGGTGCGTGAAGTCGGTCACATACGGCTTCTTTTGGAAGTTCTAGATTTCGGTTTGCTGCTTTCGAATACGACTGTCAACCCAGGTGGTCGCCGGTATCAGTATGCCTTGGGATAGTGGGGATGTTTATTTTAGAGGTCGACTATATTTACCCCTCACTACCTCCTATTTATAGGGAAGGCAGTATCAGCGTGACACTGCTGATCATATAAGGGGAACACCTCACACTACAATCCAGCTAGTAGTACGACTTTATCCTCAGATCCTATATAACGTAAAGATTTTTAGATCTTTCTGGCATGGTAGAAACTCAAGGGAACAAGAGTCTCAGAAGCATACCTCGTTGGATCATTGCGATATGCGAACCCGACTACCACGTCACTGTAGTAGTTATCGGCTGTTACGCAGTAATGCTTGGTCCTATGCTGATGATGATGGTCTGTAAGCTTACCCAACAGCATAATGGAAAAACAACTAATTAAGTAATCGGATAAACTGATAACAGCTTATAAGCGGGATCTCGAAAGGACATAAAAATAACGAAACATAGGAAGAACTAACATCACAGAGAAAATCGGCTAACTACTCATAACTGGATATATAGAGTGAATGCAACTGATCTACAGAGATCAATGTCTTGTTATGTTCAATCATCGATCCCTGATATCAAACAATCTTGATAAAAAGCAATCTGGATGGAAATAAACATTTTATGCATAACTTTTTGTATTTCAATTTTTGTTCCATGCCACTGTGTGGTCGAGAAAAACCTTACTGGACAATTTTATCCAACAACTGGCCAATCGAAATAAGCTACTTAACTTTTGACCTAATGGTTTAATATGTTCATGAAAACTGTATGCATAAATAATGCATTTTTATCAAATAAAGTTTCAATACAGTATGAATGGATATTTATACATTGGTTTTCAGGAGAGAACAAAATACACATCTAGGCTTTTTAAAACCAGAACGGTATAAAGTCTTATCCTGTGGTGCAACCACACAAGTGCATTCAATACATTTATAATTCCCATTGTGACATCAGAAACAAGATATTTAGCGAATAGGGCTCTTTTCAAAGAATTTATTCTCAAACTGTACGCTCGTTCATATGTATGCTATTTAAAGACTTTAATCCATGAGGAAGATTTAACTTAAGTAATTGAAGGTTGAAATAACAATAATGGTGGTTATAATTATGAAAATGTTGCTGGTTGATGACGCAAAAGTCGAATGATAAGAAAAGGGATTACGTAAGATCTGTAACTCGTTCACAGGATGCATATAGATCACAAAGGGGTGAGAAAGTGGTAGAGTTAATAAACAATCAAAGGATAAGGATGATATAAGCGTACTCAGACTAATCTAACAAAGGGAGAAGTTGAAAAAACAAAAAGGGAACGAGATAAACTAAGACGAAATTGAGGCCAAGGTAGAGACTGTACATGCTTCTGTTGCACATATATATATATATATATATATATATATATATATATATATATATACAGAGGTCTGACTGGCTTCAGTTTATGGATAACTAAGGCTTCTATTGCTTTTAGAAGTTGAAGACGGAGGAAATGTCAGATATTTGAGTGAAATCGATAGACAACCTTAAAATCATTGTCAGCAGTCGGTTGAATGGTTGGAATCGATTAAATGTTCAAGGATAGAACTTCTAATGAATTTTCTTTCACCCTTATAAAAACTAGGCAAGAATATGTCCTCGTATACATGTTGACAACAGTCTCTGACTACGATCGATGTACCTTACTCCACAATAGCACGTGAATTGGTAGATACATATGGAGCCGGTCTGTCAAGGGATATTGTCTTTTACACAAAAGGAGAACAATTTACAACTAATAAAGATCTAATGAAGTTTGCTTGAGAACAAGTCCTACTCATTGATCTGGAAAGACGATTTTTCAGGATATCTGATTCTACATCACCTTTAAATCCCAGATTCATGAAACGGAACTGATGACTAGTTTCGCATATCTTTCCCGCATATTCTTATCAACAATTAGGCTGGGATAACCATCTTGCGCAAGCGTCCCTCTTAGAAAGTCAAGTTCGACTTACACACAGTCTGTGCTACAAATATTACGTATTCCATAGCAGAGTGAGTGAATCAGGTTTCTTTCCCTCAACTGTCGAAATTAGAAAGCCGTTCATTCCACATGGGTCTCTTGTAGACGCATCTTTTCAGTGTTTCATTGTTACGTCTCGTAATCAGCATGTCAAGGAAAGGAATAGGTGATTCCAATTCCCTCTCTGTGGTGAATTTCAACGCTGAGTGACAATTGTTAAACTTGCGTAAAATGCCAACCAGATCAATGGTTGAGTCACAAATAACGAATATATCATCCATATATATTGTTTATTGATGTTAAAATAATCAATAGTTTGGTTAAGATTAGAATTTTCTTATTTTGACGTCAAGCAGTCAGCCATTAGAGGTCCCAATGGGAATCCCATTGCAATCCCATCATTTTCCGGTATATCTCATCATCCAAACTACATAGCACATTAAATATATCTCATCAATACCTATGTCAAGTAGTTTGTTAGAGTTCCTACATCTATATTATGTGAATCTATCAAATCACATATGTGACAGACAGTTTCAGTGAGTGGTACACTGGTAAACAATGAGGTAACATCCAAGGAAAATATAACTTTACCGGTGGTGTCAACATCCTTAATGATATCAATAAACTCAAATGTATCACGAACAGAATAATGAGACACTTGTCTTCTGACTGGTTCCAGTACTTCAGTCAACCACTGGACGATACAATGATAAGGAGAACCAGACATATCGAAAATCGGGAGAAAGGGTAATTCTACTTCATGCTTTTTCGGCAATCCATAGGAATGTGTAAGTATTGAACCAACGGGTCGGATTGCAATCCTTAGGTGTGATATATATATATATATATATATATATATATATATATATATATGACTATTATTTTTGTGGTTCAGTGAACTATAAAATGATACAGAGGAAGAACAGTCGTTAGTCAACACCAGTCAAAGTGGCTCATTGTGTATGGTTTTCACATTTCATGTTGTTTCACTCGGTCACTTTAAATCTGTATCGATAAGACTATGAGTAATCATACGACTTAGATCAAAAGTCATGGAATTCAGGGATTTACGCTACTTTGTTCAATACCTGGACATCAAACTCAACTGCTGGTTCCAACAGTACAAATCCACAAAATGACAGTAACCTTGTGTACATTCATGTAGTAGGCAATCAGCCAGACTTAGTATGTGAAGACTAAGAATACTGCTATCTGACACCCTTAAACCTCTGTAAGTGAAGCAGGCTTCGAATGTGTAACTCATTGGTTGGAGGTGAATTAGTTAAAATGCCAATGAAATAATATTTACAAGAATGCCACATTACATTTTAAACTACTCATGAGTAAAAAGAAAATTATAACAAAAGAACTCACCTGTGCTTCCGTACTATCGTTTGTCATCATTATTGGTTGTTTGATGTATTTCAAAGCACTTAAGAAGGTATCTTGAAACGACTTCAAAATATCTTGACTAAAAATATTATCTGCACACTTAATAACCTTTTGAATAACTAAATGATCATGAAGAGGGTACAAGAATACTAAATGAGATAAAGTTAAATAGATTTGATAGGATTCAATAATATTTCTATTTGCTTTAACATTTCGACTGGTGATTTCATTTACCAGGGATTGACCAATTCTTCGGAGAACACAATCATGAATAGATTGTAAGTTGCCTGAATAATGGATCAACAAAATAAGAGTAGAAGAATATAAATATTGGTTGTGTTGCAGCATCGAGTTCTTCGAACACACAAGGGTGATTTCATCAGGAAGCTTCCATTGTCCTTTCTCTAGACAACAACATTATCAGCACTAACTGGAGTATTGAAGTGAGGTATACCGGATCTCCCCACCAGTGATTCGGTGGCCTGACCTAATGAAGTGGCTTGTGAGTGATTGTATTCCTTGATATTCCTTGCTGACTGATACTCTGCTTGACCTCTGACCTTTCTGTTGTTGATCATTTTTCTTATTGGTTGGTAGATTGATTCGATGTCTATACACATATATTGACTGTTGATTGACCTGGATGCCAGCTACCTTCCTAGGAATTCTTTGTATTTCCTTGTCCAAGATCTCTACATTGTCAAAATTGAATTCATGTTCATCGTTATCTACGTGGATTGAAATGAGCGATGAAATGTCGTGACATTTAATAGGCAACTGATGTTCACACAAACGAAGACGATCACTCTATCAAATTTAGTGATGATCGCAGTTGCTGCAGTTGATTTTGTAAATGATATTTGGTTTGTCTTCTTTGACTGTTGCATCCTTTGGTCTCCATGATATGCTCTTCTGTAGGGAATTTATTAGTTTATGAACCACACCCACTCCATATCATCTCTGTAGTCTTGTTGTAATCTCTGATATGTTTTTTATATCCGATAGGATGATCAGTTAGCAGATGATGATTTTATAGTTGATTCTGGGCGAGATATGCATCGTCAGATTAAGTTTCGTGGTTAACTGAGCTTCTTTACAACGGATATCAAGTAACTCGCTTCGTTTCTCCGTGAAGTTATTCTGCGTTTGCTAGCTAGAGAAAACCTTCAACTTGTCCGGAGACAGAATGGACTGAGATAGAAATAAAATTAATAAATTAGCAAAAAGTGTATCAAAATTGAACACTCAAGTGTGCGCAGATTGATCGAATCGTCAATTACAGTAGCAAACACCCAATAATGTACAAAGTTAGTTGCATACAGAGTCTGTTCAAAAGAGTACGAACACTATGGAGTACATCAACTTCATGTAAGAACTAGGAGAATTGCTTGATTCCAATCCTAACGAGAAGAACATTTATCTATACAACTTCATTAGACGATGCATATCCCGTTCATCATCCACTACAAACATCATTCACACAAATCGGTAAACAGATCATCCTAGCATACAGAAAGACTACAGAGATGATATGGAGTGGGTGTGGTTCATAAACTAATAAATTCCCTACAGAAGAGCATATCATGGAGACCAAAGGATGCAACAGTCAAAGAAGACAAACCAAATATCATTTACAAAATCAACTGCAGCAACTGCGATCATCACTAAATTTGATAGAGTGATCGTCTTCGTTTGTGTGAACATCAGTTGCCTATTAAATGTCACGACATTTCATCGCTCATTTCAATCCACGTAGATAACGATGAACATGAATTCAATTTTGACAATGTAGAGATCTTGGACAGAGGAAATACAAAGAATTCCTAGGAAGGTAGCTGGCATCCAGGTCAATCAACAGTCAATATATGTGTATAGACATCGAATCAATCTACCAACCAATAAGAAAAATGATCAACAACAGAAAGGTCAGAGGTCAAGCAGAGTATCAGTCAGCAAGGAAACGACACAACTATCAAGGAATACAATCACTCACAAGCCACTTCATTAGGTCAGGCCACTGAATCACTGGTGGGGAGATCCGGTATACCTCACTTCAATACTCCAGTTAGTGCTGATAATGTTATTGTCTAGAGAAAGGACAATGGAAGCTTCCTGATGAAATCACCGCCTGTTCAGAGAAAGTAACAGAAAGAAGATCATCTCCACGAGCTACAAATATTCTCCACTATTTTAGTAGATATAAATCCTGACCAACATTCGATGGGATAGTTTCACAAATATTATTGGGTACACAGTGAAAATATGGCATTAACTGTTGGGTTTTTGGTATTTGTATAGATCTCAGCAAGTTCGAAATAAACTAGTTCTTACATTTCATCCAGATCTTCTCCCGGGAAACAATCAAACTGACTAGAATTCTGTGTGAAACACGCTGAGAATTATACAACAACTTATATCTATCTAATGAACAATAATCTTGTCATACATACTTGATATTAAATGGAATCCACTACAATATGTTGAGTTTCACTTAGCTTATTAGCATAATATGCATGCTTACGTTCGAAAAGAGGTTAATAATGTAAGAGAAAGAGAGGGAGAGGGAGGGAGAGACAGCATGTTACCAAAGAACACCCATTGGCTGACTTATGCTTTACATGAGACATATCCTTTTGTCAACAACTAACTGACAAAACAGCCTCCACTTATACATGACCATAACAACAGCGATATTCAAGGCTTCAATTTGTCTTTGAAAACACAATAGAGAATGTTACTAAGCTGAAACAGATCTCAGGCGAGACAATATTTGGCTTTTAGACATAATGTTTTCAGGGTAAGCGAAACTATCAGAATCAGAATCCAGGATGTTTCTAAGTATTTAGAGCTCATTAGGAGGATGTACTCACATTTATGTTGGCATATTCCTGTCGGGAACTCGAAGCTACCACCGACTGAATTAGACGAGTGAATCATGAAGGTCAGCTCTTGTCCATATGGTATTCATTTGGTGTTTTTTTTAAAATTTCACTCGAACATAGCGATAGACGTCTTCATTAGATTCGATTCAAAGATGTGCTGTTACCCAATGGTACGCATAATACAAATAAAAACGAAATCAAAACTCATTCAACAACCTTGTGCACACATCCATGACGTAGACAATCAATAAGCCATACATCTATTATGTGTGACAGCTAATCATACAAGTCCCTAGCTGTTCAAATTTCCATAGGTGGAGCAGTGTTCGAACTCATTGTTTGAAAGCTAACTAGCTAAACAAATGAGCCATAGCTCTACACATGAAAACCTATTTTGACACAATCTACTTTCAGGTAAACGATAAAACATCTGACATCTGAAAATTAGGTTTGTCCACTGACCCTAACTCTACTTAACCAGTCCGAAGATGAAATAACTATCCAACACGTTCATAAATACTATTTGAATCATCTAACTGATAATATCAGTCGCTGAGTGGCAAAGTACTGGCGGTGTGTTAGGAAGTGGTCAAAAATTGAAATTGTTTAAGGTCATTCGCCGTTGGGGTAGAAATATTTTCGTTTCAGATCTTGATTAATGTCCATCTGAATGGTTATCTAGTGGCTTCATTTTCTGAGTATATAAATACTATGTTTATTGTCAAATAAAATCACAGGGCCGTCTTTTGTTTTCTGATTTTATGCAGCTCAGTGAAGTATGGGGGAGAACAGTCGTATTACTCGTATCCAATCCAAGTATCTCGTTGCGTTATTATCTCGTTTCACTTGTTATTAGAATCTACGTCATACTCTGACTCAACCACATCACGGTGGTACCCAAGAGTCATGGGTGTGCACTGCACTGCTGAGTAGGATGAAACAGCTCCCAGGTTTCAAATGTTTATCAGTCCCATGATGAATGCCAACTTGAAAACAATGAATAAGTCTTCACGAACCTTATTGGACACAACCTTCAAGAGGTGATTCCCAGTGTTCTAATGGTTCTCCAACTGATGTCAATTAGTCCATGATGAATACCACAACTTGAAATCATTATCCAATGAAGAGAAGGTTAAAGATCAAAAGAAAAGATAATCATAACACTGACCTACCTAAGAGTATAAAACCAAATAATTGGCTAATAATATTTAGAATCTCTTGAAACGCCATAATAGAATCACCTCTATCGGTGGATAGTGTGGCCTTGAAACATTGAATACACTCCCATAGTCTCAATAATTGTTCAGTTAGTTTGTTTAAATCATAACCAAAATTTGAACATACACTAAAATATCCATATTCATGAAAGAGTTTGAATAAACCACCAATAGATTTAGTGATTAAAAGAAAGTCATTCGTCAGAAAATTTTCCAAAGATTGTAAATAAGTGATTAAATCATTTAGTATGTACAATAGTTCTCTTAGTTTTCCAATTGATAAAACATCATGGTTACGTAAATCTTGATTGCGTAAAACATTCCAATCATATTCTAACTGACAGGATGCTTGAGTTAAAGCTAAATTCCAAACGGCATTACATTCAATCTTCAATAGGATAAACATACCATTTAAAAGTTCTTGACATCAAATTCTCCGCTAGTCCTTCCTTGAATTAAAATCTTTAACGAAGTAATAACCTAAAATAAATTTTGAAAAAAAACAAAACATTATGATACTTTTGTTTTCTTCAGTCACCCAGTTAGATATTAGTCATCGGATATGAGGCAGAGAGTTTAACCCATAAAAGAAGTCCTAACGATTATTACTATTATTATTTATTATTTTCCCTGCTGTTCCCAGTGGAACAAAGAGCTTCAGTAGCACACCTTCGTTGCATACTGTTCTCTTTTGAAAATGGCTGCACGACTGCCCTAAAGCTTTCATTTCTTCCTCACATCATCTCCTCCATGTCACCCTCGCCTCGGACGCCCAACTCCTCGTTTCCCTTTTGGATTCCACTCGACGAACTCACCTCGCGCGGATGTCCTCAGTCGGCCTCCTCAGTGTATGCCCAATCCATCTCGACTTTCTTCCAGTGCATATTTGTTGGGTGATAGGTTCTTGCTTCGTTGGTTCGCTGCCATGTGAGAGTTCCTTGTTGCTTATTCTTATTACTCTGGCCATCTGATCTTCAGTATCCAGCCAGCGTAGGCAGCTGTTGGTGAATGTGTGTAGTTTATTGGAAGTGCTTTTCGTGACACACAAAGTTTGTGAACCACCACATAGCAGCACTGACTTGACTGGATTGGTGTTGAAAATCCATATCTTGTACTTTGTGCTGAGTGGAGTATACTGCAGCAGCTCTACATACTGATTTCAGGTTAATGAAGGAAGGCCTGTCTTGCTGTCTTTCTCATCCTGGTTTTGACATCCTCGTCTGTGCCTGTGCCGCCTGTAGTTGAAACGATGCTGGCTCCTAGGTAGCTAGGTGAAAGAGACTACTTCCTTTAGGTTTCGTCCGTTCATGGTGATAGGTGCCTCCTGTTATTCATGCTGTTGTTGGTTGGGTATCTTCATCACCTCCGTCTTCTCTACATTCATTTGAAGTCCCGTTTTCGCTGACCTGCCCTGCCTCTTCTGTCAACTTCTTAGTTTTCGTCTGTAGATCTTCGAGTTTGTGCGACATTAGACATAAGTCAATATCTCTAGGCTCTTTTCAGTGGTCAAACAGAGCATGCTCATTCTCTCGCTCCTCGAAGTTGTCTGCTGCATGATCCAGTGCACCACAATCAGCAAGATCATGGGTGGTAGCAGGCAGCCTTGTCTCACTCCCGTCTTAACTTCAAGGGCGTCGCTGAGCTCTCCATTGTGGATCACTTGACATATGGCGTCGTCATTTAGCTGTTGAATGAGGTTGACAAAGATTTGTGGCACTCCGTAGTCTTGAAGCAAATGACAAATTACTTCACAGTCGACGCTGTCAAAGGCCTTTTCAAAGTCGATGGAGTTGAGGCAGAGAGTTGACTGACTTTCTATGCTCTGTTCTAAGATGATGCGTGACGTAGCCTTGCAATTTAACCCGCACATGATTTGTTCACCCTGAAGCCAGCCAGCCTGTTCCGGTGGCAATTCTGAATCCATAGCGCTTTTTAATCTCTTCGGAATGATGCGGCATGATATTTTGCATTGGGTGGACAGCAGCATGATTCCGCGTCAGCCCTTGCAAAGATTTAGGTCTCCTTTCTTCGGGAGTTTGATAAGGTAGCCCTTCTTCCAATCAATGGGCAGGTACCTTTCCTTCCTTCCTTACAAACCTTCTGCAATAGTGGTGTCAGCATGTCTGCTGCTCATGTATTTGTGTCTGTTTTGAGTGCTTCTGGTGGAATTCCACCTGGTCCTGCTGCTTTCCTGTATTTCAGCAACTTTGTGGCGTTGAAGACTTCACTTCTGCTTTCGTTGGAGGCCTTGTGTTCACTGATAGATGTGTGGCTGCTGGTGATATTCCGGGTTGAGTTTCAGGTGCTGGTGGTCGATTCAAGAGTTTATGAAGTGGTCAGCCCATCGTTTCCTTTGTTTCTCTTCTTTAGTAATCAGATTTCCTTCATCATCTTTTATTGGTTTCATCTGTGCTGTGTTGATCTCTTCCCTCCCAGATAGTAACCTGGTTATTTGATACAATATTGTCAGGTCTCTCCACCAGCAACTTGTTCTACTTCACTTTCCAATGTGTCATAGAAATATCTTTTGTCGTTGCGCGCACTCTTCTTCACTTAGTTGTCCAGTGCTTTATAGGTTGCACTCAGTTCTTCTTTTCGTTTTGCATCCTTACACTGCTTCATCATCTTCCACTCTATCCTCTTTCACCTTCCATGTGTCCGTCGAGATCCATTCCTTGTCATTGTCTTCTTCCTTCCTTCCTTCCTAATACGGTTATCTAGGTTTCTTCCCACATCTCTTCCAAACAGTTCAAGTGTTCTTCCACACCCGATCCTTAAGGAATATTGCTCAATGCCTCCCAATTTGTTCTGATGGCTGACGTGAAAATGTCCTTTGTAGTTTCGTCCTTCAGTTCACTTTCTGTTCTGCATATTCAACTTCAACTGTGGTCTATCACCACCAGGTTGTTTGAATGCTTTCAACTTGATTTTGAAGGTTCCTTCCACTAGATAGTGCGTGATGTGAAGCTACATCTGCTCCTCTTCTTCATCTTGTACCGAGTAGACTGCGTCTCCACTTTCTTCACATTGAGATCAAGTCGATCTGATTTTTAGTGTGCCCTGGTGTCTGGTGAAATCCATGTCGCTTTGTGAATACCCTTGTGTTTGTACACACTGACTCCAATCACCAAATCGTTGAATGTGCAGAAATCTGCAAACAGTTCTCCATTCTCATTCATTTCACCGAGTGCCCCTCGACCCGTGATCAGTTCTCTTCCTGTGATGTCTGCTCCTAGTTTGCCATTCATGTCGCCCTGCTCATTAGAATTTTGATGTCGCCAACTGGGGTGGGGTCTTGTCTAGTATTGAATGCAGTTTTCTGTAGAGTTCCTTCTTCTTCTCCTCATCTGCATTATTTATAGGTGCATAGCGTATCATTTTATGATAGTAACTTTCCTTCCATTTGATTTGAATCTTTCTGTCATGATCCTGCAGGAGGAGATTGGTCCCCATTGCATGAGAGCCTTCTATACTCTTGAAGGGGACATCATGAGAGCCAATCCAAAACTCAGTGTGCTCGTGGTTGTTGTCTGGGTGATTATATCGAGTAGATTATTGACTCTCAGGTTGACAGTTTGGAGAGTCCACTTCCATTGCATCTCCAGATTCCTCGCAGATTCCAAGCACTTCTATGCCATTCTTCCTCATCTCTTTTGTAATCTGGGCTGCCTTGCTAGGTTCATACATTGTACGGACATTCCATATCCTCATTCTTACTTTCGCTTTTATGGAGAGAAGAAACATCGGCCAACTGGCTTCCCGAAGTCTTTCACCAACCGGCGTCATTTCGTCCCTATGACTCCAGCGAGGAATAGGTTTGTTTTTGTTTTTTAAATTTTTTTGTGCTTTGAAGTTTCTCTAGCGATTGGATTGGTTTTACGGTGTAGGGTTGCAAGCCGTATTCCCAACCTTCCCTCTTTATCCGGGCTTAGGACCGGCTAGTAACTAGTAAACTAGTTAACCAGGTGAGGTTAATATCCTAAGGATGCTAAACCTTATATTCCACTTCTATATGGAATGATTATTGTGCTATCCATCCGAGAGAATAGGAATCGCTGGTTGGGGACTTTTCATGGCATGGCGTAGATGTATACCCTCCCTGACGTCTGTTCGAGTCTTGCAGCAACGGCCTGCACTTGCGTTTCTCGTCACCCAAATAGTCTCCAACGGTTGGCTTTTGCCAACTTATGCCATCTATAGCGCCGTCCCGATATCCGAATGTCTATTAAGGGTCGAGTGTACTGTGCTTTAGTTCGCTCTGTCCTACTCTATGACTGTGAAATATGGCCATTAAAGGTAAAAGATATGAGAAGGCTTCAGGTGTTTGGTTACTGCTCCCTTCGTACCACAGGCCGTGTTTCATGGTGTCACCATGTGAGTAACACAGAATTCAGACGTGGAGTTTTAGGCAGGAGAGGTAAGCCAGTTGACACGGTCGTGAACCTTCATCGACTGAGATGCCTGGCTAGGACATGTGTTACATATGCCTAGCCACCGTCTACCTCATCTCACGATGTCAGTAGGAGTATGTTCAGGCTGGAAAAACGCTCAGGACTGACAGACTAGAACATGGCATCAATATATGAAGTCCTTGACTATTGGTTTGAACAATTTAAGGCGATGCAGACTAGCCGGTTAGGGTCCACCAGACAAGAGAAACCAGTGGTTGTTGGAGACTCTAGGTGATATAGCTCAGAACCAATGTCAGTGGCGTAGATGCATACACACATTATCCTCACATTACCTGCTGTACTTAATCTCATCACCTCATTCTTCCTCCTTCTCTTTTACTACTTTCTACATCTACATGCTTTGACCGACTTTTCCTTCTTCATCTACCATTCCATCGCCTTGTTACTTGATGTGCTGATATGAGGTGTGGTGGTGTGTTGTAATGCCTGGTCCTATGCTGATATTGATGATGATGGTACGATATGCTGTGTCATTGATAAGTTTCTGGATATCTCTCCAACTTACTGCTTGTGACATTTGTCAGCAAATACAAACCAATAGTTTTGCATTGATTGTAAGACCTCAGTTATCAGCAAACTGAACGACTTTATTGCTACCTAATGATGACAAACTGGGTATCAGCAAATACACGAATCTTGCCACCACATATTATGTTCATAGAATGCAAAATGTGTACTAGGATGTATTCATGTTTCCTCTTACTAGGGGGCTCATCAGCATTACGCACCCAACCAGGGATTGAACGCAGAACCTTCAGATTTTGCGGCGAGCATGTTAACATTGAGCCACTGAGTCGGAATCCAATAAGTTCACATTTTCCTACTTGTATCAGTTCGCGATATGGCACGACCTTCGTCAAATTTCGTCACTGAGTATCTGTCCTCTCACATTCCACTAGGTTTCCGCCATCGCCTACGACTTGTCGTCCGAACTGCTGAGGAGTCCCGTACTAGCACGAAATAGTTAGCTGTCCAGTGCTCCATACGTTTCAATGGTACCACAACGGA